GTATAAAGTTATCTTATCATGATTATTAACCGACAGCAATCACAAAATTAGTTTAGATAATTTGTAGAGTAGTCTGACAGCAATCACAAAACAAATTTAGATTATATGTAAAATAATACGACAGTGATCACAAAATTGGTTTAGGTTATTTGTAAAGTAATCCGACAACAATGCTCGTAAGGTAATTAATTCACCCAGCGTTAGAACAATTCATCTCATGTGACTTTCAATCTTACGTGACGTATTTCTGTTGTTTGAGTATAAAATTGTACAATTAATAATTTTTAATTTTACAAAATAACCCCGACTTTGACAGTTTGTAGTCTTGTTCCCCCTTCTAAAACAAATCAAACTAAACTTAATCTAACTATTAGTGACTTTTGAAAAGCATTAAGCTTTTTTCCTTGTATAATTCATTTACTATAACGGACAATATATGTTAAAAACATGTTAGATCTATATATTTGTATCTTATAAAACATGTTAGATCTATATATTTGTATCGTATAAAACATGTTAGATCTATATATTTGTATCTTATAAAACATATTAGATCTATATATTTGTATTTTATAAAACATATTAGATCTATATATTTGTATCTTATAAAAAATGTTAGATCTATATATTTGTATCTTATAAAACATGTTAGATCTATATATTTAAACCTTATAAACTACATTAAATCTATCTATTTAAACGTCCGCTGAAAGAAACTTGTGTTTTGATAAGATAACTTTATAACTTTATAGAATTATTTTACAGATAACCAAAACTAGGTTTGTGATTGGTGTCGGATTACTTTACAGATAACCAAAACTAGGTTTGTGATTGGTGTCGTGACCTAGTTAACCTCAGTAAAATGAGTATGTGTTGATTACATTGGTTTAACATACTGTTACGTATCTGCTTGTTTGATAATTTCCCGTAAAAATTATTTCAAAGAAACTTCAGCGATACAAGTCCTTTCTTAATTAAAACTAGTTTATTCTTTCTCGTTACAAACTTTGTAAAATACTTATGTATCTGCAAGTTCTTTCACCTTGTAGTTTTGTTGCTCTATATCAGCCGTCTTTAAACCGAATGACAAAAACTAAAAAGGATCCATTTTTACTCTTAGGTGAAGCTGTAGTAAAAAAAATATGGACCGATAGCTCAAGTGAATTTTTGCGTAGGCGTGGGCATAAATTTTCGTTAAATTTCAGCGGTTTTTGGCCGATAACTTTGCCCTAATTGAGACTCCTAATTGTAGGTTGTAAAGATCGGTCAGTGTACCAAATAAAATAAAATCCATAACAATTAAGTATATTTTTCTATCAAATAAAGTTCCGATGTTTTTGTACAAAGAAAATAATAGAAGAAACTCAATCAAAATTGGAGATGTCATGTCTCAAGTATTTTTTAATGGATTGCCTTGAAATTTGATATGTGAAGGTAAAGACCAGTAGAGCACATCCACGGAAGATATGTAATAGTTTGGATTACCGAAACTATCCGAGATACAGAAGGTGGAAAATCGCTAAACTATCACAGTGTGTCCTGCAGGTTGTTTTGGCCGCATGACGCATTAACGCATGTCCTGATATATATATATATATCTGTGATATGCTTCCTTTTGCTTATTATACCAATGATACACTATGTCTTGTTCAATATATTAATGATAAATAACTGTAATTGGCTGATACATCGATGATATTCTAACATTTGTTAGTTAAAACAACAAAACACTTAAATATTCCAGATTAAGCGCTGACAGAAAAAAACTGTTATAAATACAAGTTCACTGCAGACCTTGTTTGTACAGTCCTTTTGATCTGTCTATTCTGGCTCCAAATAAGAAGTATATACAAAATAGCATTTCAGATATTTTTTCTCCCACAAGTCAGTGCCCCATAAACTGTTCGTTTAATACCAGAACTCACCACCTGGACTGGACAATGAGAGAAATTAGATTCTAAGAAACGTTGTGTTTCGACAGCGGAAGTCACGTGACACTGGTAACAAGTGATGAATTTCTAGAAGGATTATGAAGGCCCGAGTGTTTGCCAGACGCCCTCTATTTTAGTATATAATAGGGAGTATATAGATAGGGAGATATAGAGACAGATAATCGAGTCAAGTCGTAAGTAAAGTGCGTGAATCGTTGTGAATTATAGCGTGTGTTTAAGTTAAAGTAACTGTGGAAATTAAGTGTATTGCAAAGTTGTATTGAGAAAGAATAAACTAGTTTTATTTAAGAAAGGACTTGTATTGCTGAAGTTCTTCAGAAAGAATTTTTACAGGAAATTATCAAACGAACAGAGACGCAACAGTTGTTTATACATATACTGTACATTTACGCTTTTTTTGACCGTGAACACTTGTCCTAGCGAAGCGTGAATATAATCATTTCTATTTGTAACCAGATAACGGTATTTTGGCTATTTATATTTGTAACACTACACTTTTTTCAATCCTTTGCGGTTTTCCAAGAATTAAAATGCACGATAGCGTTGAAACCACGTGACCAGATAAGGAAGAGGAATTGTAAAAATTACGAAACTGTAAAGGCATCATCATTTACTGGCGAAACCTTGGTCGTGTATAAATGATGTATTTGTGAAAAGTACAGTTGTTTAGTTTCCTCAATTTTGATTTTACATTTCTGAAATGACGGAACTTTGCGAAGTCACTTTTGTAATTTATCGTTGTTATTACATAATTAAACTTCATTCAATTTCTGAAGCTGAAATGAAAAATCACAATAGGATTTTATCAAGGCAAATCTAAAAAGAAGTACCAGCGTGACTTTTGATGTGAGCCACGAGAGGGACTGATGATTTTACGTGAGTGAATAAAAGTAGAATCAAATTCTGAAAAAAAAGAAGAAAAATATCCGTTTTACAGGTGTTTGAATACATACAGCTTGCACGTGCGAAAACAACTACATATATGTGACGCAGAAACGGGATGGTAATATTTGTACAGTTGTTTATTGGATTCAGTTATGAGTACCCTGCAGCTGTAGCCCCAGATTTCTTTACAACTTATGAAACGGTACAATTAAAGTGAATCTCTTCAATAGTTAACGGTTTAATGTAAATGCAATATAAAGTTTGAGACGTTTGGCAAGAAAATCCTTAATTACAAGATTTAGTTATTAGTTTTACGTATGTATTCTCATCTCACATATGTAACAGGGAATATCAATGTTTCCTCTTAATAAGAGCACTAGTTTTATTAAACCAACTGAGTTTTAAAGAATTATCCTTGACTAGAATTACATTCGTTTAGACGAATCAAACAAAATCCTTCCTAAAGGTGCTTATCATCCTTATCCGCCTGATATACTGACTATATTCATATACAGAGATATGTTTGTGAAATCTGTCCCCGCTATCGAGATCTTATAACGAGTTGCAATGTGACAGGGAAGATAAGCCTAGAATTAATAAGGTAAGTACTTGCTTGACATTAAAGTCGATATTTCCTTTGAAAATCTCGTACACGATGGATTGATGTTTCGTAATATGAGGTTAGTTGTTAATAACAAGGATAATATATCCTTATGCGTTTTTTTTTACAAGATCAACGACAAAAATCGTAATTAGTCCACGTAAAAATTAGTGACGTATGAGTGATTAAATGTGTACTGTACTATACTTTATTTAAACGTCAGTTCAACTGTTCGGGGAATTCGAACACGTTTTTACTCGAAGCCTAACCGAAGAAATCTGAGAAGGACCTTCGTATTAGGGTAAGAACAGAAGTGTGAGATATAAAACACAAAAATTATCTCGTCATTTGATAAACTTATATTTATTTGAGTTTAGTTTTTTACCTGGCAGTGTTTTTTTTACGAAAGTAACAAGTATATTTTTGTTTAAAAGAAGTTCGTTGAACTCCTTAACTAAATCATTCACCAAGTCAGTTTATTTATTAAAATGTATCATTATCACAAAAATTGCATATAATCATATATTTATGTATGAATAAAAGCTTTTCGTTACACAGTTTTAAACGACCCATTTTCTGCAATCAATTTTTTGTGCTCTCTAGTTTTTAACATTGACATCAGCATTGTTACTATAGTGTTATCCGCATAACATCGTAATTTAATAAAACATATCAGGAAATATAGCAAGTCTGTGATAACGAACAGCTTATAGTTGATATTTCAATGATACAATAAATTATATGTGTTGCTTTCGACCCCCCTCCCCCCAGTGGCTCAGAAGCAAGTCTGAAGGCTTATAATGTTAAAAACCAGGTTTCGTTCCCCGTGGTGAGCAACGGCACAGTTAACTCATTGTGTGCTTTGCGCTTAACAACATACAAAAGAAAAATTTCTGAAAGTTTTTCACGCATTCGGGTGATTGTTTAAAAAGATATAGATTTTATTTCCATAAAGATTTATGGCACAGGATAAAATCATATTCGTGCTTTAAAAGTTTTCGTCAATATAGTTTTCATTGATAAATGATTCATTTGTCAACTATTTTGGGTTATTAAAAAAAACAATTAAGAGTTATTTCCCCTGGTAGATAAGTGGTACGTTTACGGACTTACAACGCAAAAACCCGGGATTCGATTTCCCGCGGTGGACACGGTAGATAGCCCGATATATCTTTCTGCTAAACACAAACAGACAATTCTTATACGTTGTTCATTTCCTAGTATGAAATATTAGGCTTCAAGCCAATCACTTCTAACATTATTCTTTTGTCAGTCTGAAGTATTAGATTATAAAATAATCATTTTTATCACTGCTCTCATTTTAGCCTGAATTATCATATTATAAAGCGATAACTTTGAACACTGCTCTCATTTTAGCCTGAATTATCAGATTATAAAACGATAACTTTGAACACTGCTCTCATTTTAGCCTGAATTATCATATTATAAAACTATCATTTTTATCACTGCTCTCATTTTAGTCTGAATTATCATATTATAAAACGATCACTCTGAACACTGCTCTCATTTTTAGCCTGAATTACCATATTATAAAACGACAACTTTGAACACTGCTCTCATTTTAGCCTGAATTATCATATTATAAAACTATCACTACTAATTTACTCTCAATGTAGCCTGAATCATCATGTTATAAAACTATAACTTTGATCACTGCTCTCATTTTAGCCTGATTAAGTTTTCAGCAATACGTTTAACGGCATATTAAGCTGACATTCGTGGCTCGATACTTGTAGAAAGCAAAGTGTATATAAACCTATTGTGTAGCTTTACGCTAAAAAAGAGACGTCAACACACGGATGACTAGAGGGTGATTTATATAAAAGTATTGTCACGACAGCGGAAGTCACGTGACGCTGGGAGCATGTGCGCTGGCGTTTATAGAAGGATCGTGACTTAACGGGCAACCTCACGAATATCCCAGCGTTTGCTAGACGACCTCGTTTTTAGTATATAAGCCGGAGATAGACTGAAGAGAAATAATCGAGAGAAGCGAGCAGTAGGCACCGTAAGTAAAGTGTGTGAATCGCTGTGAATTATAGCGTGTGTTTATAAAAGTAGTTAAGTTTAAAGTGACTGTGGAAATTAAGTGTAGGTTAGGCCAAGCAAACTAGATTAGCAGTTTCTAGCTCAAGTTTTCAAAAGATTCTTACAGGTGGACGGTTATTCTTCATTCTTTATTGCCAACGTTTAAGCACAAATTTGCTAAATTTTATTAAATGAAGAGCGATTAGTGTCATTAGTAATTAGCGTCAATAATGATGATTGATACGGCTGTACCGAATTCATATGGAAGAAGAGATGAACTGACTTCCCATCTAGTCTATCTCTATTAAATTGGTTTGTTTGTTTGTTTGTTTGTTTTGGAATTTCGCGCAAAGCTACACGAGGGCTATCTGCGCTAGCCGTCCCTAATTTAGCAGTGTAAGACTAGAGGGAAGGCAGCTAGTCATCACCACCCACCGCCAACTCTTGGGCTACTCTTTTACCAACGAATAGT